TTCCTCCAAAGGCATTGTGAATGTTGTTTGGGAAAAGTATGACATCTGGCGGGGAGTCGGCGTGACAATAGTAACTTCTTTAATTTTGTTCCCCATGACTTGGCATCTTTGATTGAAGCTATTATTTATGTTACATTTAATGTGGGGTAAGTATGCCTTCTTTGAACAACATAGCAATACCTCCTTTTTCATCATCTCTATCCAATCTGTGTGTTACATAGAATTTGATCTTCAAAGCATTGTCTGCCTTGAGCCATGTCTCATTAATCAATAAAACATCCGGGTTTTCGTTATTTATTAAGATAATCAAATCGCTGAAGTTTCTTAAAACAGTCCTAATGTTCCATTGGACTATTTTCATGTTGGGTTTGTTCATAATAAAATTCATCTACATTAGCTTGTGCATCTGCGAAAAGGTATTGATTGTCTAAATCGTGATCGGATCCCCCAGATTCCTGGGTTGCATTCTCGATTTCATCCATAATTATATCTTTCACCTCCTGGGTCAAAGTTGTCTTGCCAATAAGTTGTTTTACGACCTCTAATATTGGTGTTGACTGGAACGAGTAGGTACTACCAACTGGCGAGCCTTCCCTTGTACTCCTTTGAGTAGGCGTTCTAGCAGGAGCAGAAATCAGACATTTTTTGTGCATTTCTCTGTTGTACCCTGGCGAACAGGGATTTTTTATTTTCAGGTTACATGCAGCCAAAGCATATGATGATTTTATTGGAGTCGTAGGGGTTGATAATATGTATAAATGTCTCTGATTCACTTCAATTGGTCTACTGGCTTCTGAATCTCTTCTTGTAGGATTCAGAACTGGAAAGTCTCTATGGTCCAAGTTCTCTCTCTGTTGTATATTTTTATTCATAAGCAATTAGGTGTGCTTTGTTCACAATCCCTTTCTTCGTGCTCTTCCGCACATTTTTTTTTTTTTTTTTTTTTACGGATATGCGCACTCGCAAGGAAATGTCCTATCACGCTCGAGAAGCGGCAAGTGCGCGGAAATGTCGGTGTATGTTGGTCTTGAAACGGTTCAGGTTGTAACCTGCAGGGAAAACCGTCGCAGGGAGTTTATTCCACAGCGATGCTGTTCTCCAGAGATATGAATTCTGATATAATGAGGTTCTTGGTGCCTCTAGTTTGACAGTAAATTCATGGTTACCGTCTGTTTGACGGGTTCGCCTGGTAGGCGCTACCCTCGGTGGAATCATACGTGCCAACTCTTCAGAGCATTTTCCGTGATAGTACCTGTAGAAGAGAGATAAATCGCCCACAGATCTGCGATGTTCGAGACCATCCAAGTTACGAGTAAGTGCGGGGTCATTGATCAGCTTGATAGCTCGTTTTTGCACGGTGTTCAAAAGCATTAAGGTATGTTTGGGTGCTGCACTCCATATATGTGAGCAGTACTCCATAGTTGGTCGAATCTGGGCTTTGTAGAGTGTCAGCAATTGGCTTGGTGTGTACAGATGTCTTGTACGAAATAGCACCCCAAGCTTTTGGGACGCCCTTTTAGCAATATCTGCCACGTGACTGTGCCAAGACATGTTGGTCTCTGCAGTAACCCCCAAGATATTCAACTGACTCTGTAATGTGACAGCACTTCCAGATAGCATCATGTTTGGCTCACCGGTGCTGGTCTTTTTTGAAAACAGAGCTGCTTGGGTTTTCTGCGCGTTGAACTGTACAAGGTTTTTGTTACCCCAGTCCTCTATTATCTCCAGGTCGTTATTTATCTGCGATATTTGAGTTAGTCTAAGATGATGGAATTCACGTGCGGAAAGACCTGTGGGTGGTATGAGTGAGGAGACTACATTGCTATCGTCTGCAAAGCAATAAAGTGGATTTACTGTTTTATCTATGAGGTCATTTATGTAAATCAGAAAAAGAGTTGGCGAAAGGATTGCTCCCTGTGGCATTTATTTGCTAAGAGTTGGAGTTCTGGCCATCCAGTGCAACATAAATGGATCTGTCCTTTAGGTAACTTTCATACCAAGTGCAAAGTTTCGGCGATAATCCCATTGCTTTGAGCTTGTTGAGCAGATTTTCATGCCAAACTTTGTCGAATGCTTTAGATATATCTAAGGCAATTGTTCTTGTTTCACCCTGCAACTCAATCGCTTTTTGCCATAAGTGAGTGACGTATGTAAGTAAATCGCCAGTTGACCTATATTTTCGAAATCCGTATTGCTTATCGTTGATAATTTTGTACTTTTCCAAGTACTTGGTTAGGTGATTGTTCACAACTCTTTCCATTACTTTTGATATCACCGGAAGTAGAGCAATTGGTCTATAGTTTAACGGATCTGTCTTTTTTCCTTTCTTTGGAATGGGTTGCACTGCGGCAGACTTCCATGATGATGGATATACTCCTTGCCTGTAAGACAAATTGAATAATTTTGCGAAAGTTGGGGTGAGTTCGTTGGCGCAATTTTTGAGTACTATTGCGGGAATGCCATCCGGACCCATTGCTTTGTTTGTATCTAGCTTTTTAAGGGATTTTTGTATTTCTCTGTGACAAAAGGGTACCTCTGGCATACTATGGGAAACCCTTTCAATGAACGGTGGAGTTTTTCCGTTTGGCACTGTTAGGTTGGAGTTGGAGGAAAACATTTGGGCCAGCATATTGGCTTTTTCCTCTGATGTTGTGGCTAAGTGATTATTTTTATCTGTAAGTGGTGGTATGGATGACTTGGTGAAGTTAGATCCAACAGCTTTTGCAAGAGACCAAAAGGACCTAGAACTACTTGGACAATTCAGCAACTTGTTTTTTATTCTTTGATTGTATGTTTCTTTAGCGGAGTCAATAGTAACTTTGCAACTATTTCTGGCTTCTATAAATTCTGTGTGGTTTTGAGCGGTTTGTTGTCGTTTCCAAAGGTTATATGCTCTGTGTTTTTTCTGTACAGCCGTTTGACACTGGCTGTTGAACCAAGGTTTTGCATTAGCTCTACGTTTAGTTGTATGTGGGATATATGCATCCATTCCAGATAAGATTACTTGTGTTATTTCATTACAGCAAATAGTGGGATCAGCTGTTTTAAAGCAAACCTCTTGCCATGGAAAATCCAGGTAAAACTGTTTTAGGTCATTCCATTTTGCCGATTTATAGTGCCACATTTTACGAGGAAGTGGTTGTTGGCTTGGTGGGATGAGCATTTCGCACTTTGTTATTATAAGTTTATGATCGGACGAACCAACATATCGGATATCTTTGTTTGCCTCGGCACTATTTGGCCGTATGGCCATATCTTAAACATTTGAAACACATCAATACTGGACTTATATAGACTGAGATCATTACATCACAGAAATCTTGGTTTACTGACTTTGGAATCACTTTTCCTTGGCATGTAAACGCCACTGATTCAGTGATTACATAGATACTGATACTATCACTATTTTCAGTTATTCTCTTCTTTAGCCTCCTGGCCTGAAAAACATTTGCAACGGATTTTGTATTCTCGACTATTTCCTCTTCTGATAAGCCTTTGTTAATACCTCTGGCTATTCCTTTGCAAGTGACTAGGCTAGCTGGAATATATGCATTAAGATTTTCCTCTAATAGCATTTGATTAGTTGAAAATTCAAGATAGTCTATTTCTACCTTTTCTGAAGCAGAAGAAAACGGTTTTCCCACTACGGTACAGAAAAGGAACGGAACCCTTACTGTAGTAAGGACTTCCAAAAATCTAAATGGCAGACGAAATGAATGGCCCTCAGTCCGGGGCACTCCTTGAATGGGAAGAGGGTGCGAAGAATAACCCCGTCGCCTACCATTGAGTATCAAGGAAGCAGAGAGAGAATACAGGTTTATGACAGGATAGTACGCATTACCTTCAAATTAGCAAACACTGAAGCCGAGATGAGCAGATTGAAGATCGACATACTGGGGCTAAGGGCCGAATTTATAGTTGTTCCTTGGCTCTTTCTTGAAGGTCGTGAGTTTAGAATGGACACTTGCTATTATTTGACAAGTCAGTCATGGCAATTCTAAACGTTCGAGGCTTCCTTAAGGTCTGAGGAAACCTCAAGGAGCGACTATAAATTTGGCCCTAAGTGAAGTAAAGTGGTCTGGCTCCAGAAATTCAGGTGGAACTGACCCCGAACATCAATATGGATCACCCATACTTGTTTCAGATAGAATAGCACAATTATTGGTCATGGACTTCGTCGCATTCGTAGCGCCATTCAAACTACTTAAGATCAAAAAATCGAAGAATTTTATAACAGGATATATGAAATAATGCGACTGACAAAGAGGGGAAATATAACTATGATCATTGGTGACTTTAATGCTGTGGCGCTGAAGGAGACAACCTAGGGGGTACACGGTCTTGGCACAAGAAACAACAGGGGAGATAGACTTGTACAATTCTGTGAAGCGAACGACATCCTGATAGCCAACACCTTCTTTAAACAGCATCCCAGAAAGCCATATACTTGCAAATCACCTGCAGACAAAGAAGCCAGAATTGTCAGGAATCAAATTGATTTCATTCCACTGGACTAAACTTTAAGAAGTATGTGAAATCCGTAAAAACCTTCCCTGCAGTATACAATTATAGTGACCATAATCCAGTTGTCATGGATTTTAAACTCAAAGAATTCCTGTAAGTTGAAAGAGAAAGTGTGGCAAGAAATATAGACGTCGCACAACTGAAAAATCCCAAAAGAAAGAAAGAAATAAGCTTCAAAATCGAGAAAGAGTTAGAAACAATAGCATAACTGGTACAGAGAGGGTACTTTATGGGAATATACGGAATGCTTTGAAAACAAAAATAACAAAGATCCATGAAGAAGACATTAGATTCACGAAAAAGAACAGCAAGCAAGAATGGATAACACAAGAAATCATGGACCTCATGAATGAAAGACGAAAACACAAAACAAATCCGACAGAATAATAAACATTAGGAAAAAGTGCAGAAAAGCTAAAGAATACTGGATGTCAACAAAATTTCAAAAAACTTAACTTCAGGAAAGATATGACTAGATGGAAAGAATACGCATTCAAGCACTTTTCGACGATGATAGACCTTGTGTTCCAACATCTACAGACAATCAATTAAATGAAAAAGGTCTAGAAATAACTAAAGAAGAAATCATTCATGCAATAAAAGCACAGCTACCGGTGATGACGAAAATGGAAGCTAAAGCCTAGACTTGATAACATCACTATTCAATAAAATATATAGCTCAGGCAAAATATCATATCAGACTGGCTGAAGTCAACATTCGTAACACTACCAAAAAAACCTAACTCCTCACCATACCATGACTATCGCTTACATTTAAACGTCTCCAAAACCAAAGTACTACACCATTTCAACCTCAATTTCGGAAAAAGTAACTTTTATTTAGGAAAATGTAAAGTCATTTTCGGAAAAAGTCAAATCAATTTCAGAAAAAGTAAAGTTAATTTCGGAAAAAGTAAATTCAAATTCGGAAAAAGTAAATTCAAATTCGGAAAAAGTGAATTTAAATTCGGAAAAAATACATTCAACACGAAATTTTTTATAGACTATGTAATTTGAATTGATTGAGTCATTTATCTAAATATTTAGAAAATCAAAAAGTTTGTCTATATTTCTCAAAGAGACCCGACTTTTAAACAATAAAAGAAAGGAAAAAATTACCAAGTCTTCAGATTGTTTATTATTTTATCCTCTTGATAGTGACATGTGTTTCGCTCATATGAGCATCATCAGACCTACAAAATAATAAAGAACCAATATAGGTATATAAAACCTAATTTAAGTACACCGATTGTAATCGAACTTGTCCAGGTACGGGTTCCACTGGAGGTTTATAGTCACTGCTAAATTCACTTTTTATCAATTCGAATTATTCTAAAAAATAACATACCTTTCTCCGTAATTGAATGTAGTTTTTCCCAATTTGAATTTACTTTTTCTGAATTTGAATTTACTTTTTCCGAATTTGAATTTACTTTTTCCGAAATTCACTTTACTTTTTCTGAAATTGATTTGACTTTTTCCGAAAATGACTTTACATTTTCCTAAATAAAAGTTACTTTTTCCGAAATTGAGGTTGAAATGGTGTAGTTTTCTCAACGACACCAATAGACGCACATCTATATCCTATTCACAATCCGTAGTCAAAAGGTGGAGGTAAATTTATCACCTTTTCTTATCAAATAACACTGAAAGGTGATAAATTTTGGCTTTACCTTTGGAGATCGGATTGTGAATACTTAATACATGTCAAGCGAAAAACAATACACAGGTACTTATCCTCAATAAAATATCTGGGAGCGAATATTATCAATAGCCAAGGAGATCCGGAAAAAGGTATAGGTATCAAAAATCGAACGAGGAAAACACTCATGAGCATGAAAAGTTTTTTAACAAAATTAGACCTTAGGAGAGCTCAGAACTCAAACGGTAAGATGTTGTATGCTCTGTCTTACTCTATGGATGTGAAAGTTGGACAATGGACTCACAAACAGAAAAAAGAAAAGAGGCTTTCGAAATGTATATGTATATACAGACGGATGTTACGAATTTCATGGATACATTGGATCACGAACGAGTAAGTAATGCAACGCATGAATAAGCAAAAAGAACTGCTAAACACCATTAAAGAGAAGAAAATACAATACTTGGATCACGTGATGAGAGGTGAAAGGTACGAGCTACTCCGACTGATAATAGAGGGTAGAGTACAAAGTAGAAGATCAGTTGGAGGACGCCAGAACTCATGGCTGAATGATCTGAGATGGTTTGACCGTTCATCTACATTCTACAGCAATCTTTCGTGCTGCAGTACAGTCCGTGCTATTTGGATCACCAACCTTGGAACAGGGAAGGTGCAATAAGAAGAAGAAGTTCGATATAATTTTGTCCATTTCGACGATAACTAGGCACACGCAGTTTATCTTCGAAAACTGAAAAAACCTGAGCGCCTGACAGTGGTATAGAACATAAATTATCAGAATTTTTATTGAAACTGTTTTTCAGATAATTCCTCCTTCACGTAATAGTAGTTAACCGGCTGATTTTTCACTTAGGTCCAAAGACAATCGATCAAGAAATGGTTTCATTAGGCCTATAAAGTAACGTAAATCTACATCGCAGCATTTTTCCGAAAAACGCCGCCTCAAAATCCTGAATATATTTTACTATAATCCAAGTTTAACTTTTTAACCCACACAAGTAAAAAAATCTCCTAAATTGACCGTGCCCGTGAATGGTCCCACACAAAATCGTGTAGGACGCGTACGGCCTTTTTTCGTCGGCTAAACGACAAACATTTTCAGGTGTTTAAGGTGTATTTTTTATTTGTCCTTATACTTAAAATGGAAAGGTTCAAATAAAAGTCGAAAAAGCCACCTGAATGAAATATATCGTGTGAACGGAAAGGCCGCAAAGCATTTTCGGATTTAATACCATTCCACCCTTGGAGGCGATTTGTCTTTTTTTTTTTGGTGGGTTGGTCTTTGACGATAGGTTTATTGGAATGTGATATATGTTACCGCTTCAAATTAAGCTTTCATTGTTAGGGTTTGCCATTAATTAATAAGAATACTAATTGAAACACCCCCAATAATCAATTATTATTGTTCTGCACGAGTTTGTGGACTTGAAACATAAAATTTACGTTTAACTGTCAGTAACATGAGCTCCTCTAGCTGGGTCAAAACCCTCCAAACTGCCTATACGCTGAAATTCCGTGGTACAAATGGAAGGATAATGATTATTTCAATCGGTTAATGATGCGAATGACATGGAGTGCTCCTATTTTGCAACTAATGCGTTCATAAACAGAAATTAACGTGAGTGCTGCGTGTTGAAAAATGTCGCGAATAATTACTGGGTAACGATGTGAGGCCAATAACTGATTTTGTATTTCGCCAAATTCTGAATGGATGGGTAAAGGGGAAAATACCTAACCCTAACAGAATTGTCAGCTTTATGCGGTAGGTAAATAGAGCATTGGTGAAGGAGAAAGGAGTCATTTCACTTCAAAGTGCGAATGTGAAACGACGAATCAGCTGACATCAATCGCTGTAAAGAAGTCTCCTTGAAAATTGTTTTCCAAACTCCTGAGATCGAGCGACACTGACTTCATGACAAAGTGTTTTTATTTCTTGAAAACTATTTCAAGGATACTTTCAAAGGGCAACTGTAAGGTGGTTTTCCATTTTCCATTTTCAGCCGTTTTCTATCCTTAGGATATAGGCCTTTTTCAAATTTGACCATTGTCTTCGGTTTTGCGCAACTCGGTACCAATTCAAGCCTGCAACCCTCTTTATATCGTCCTACCATCTTTGTTGGGGTCTTCCAACACTTCTCCTCTCTTCCCAAGGTCTCCATCTAGTGATATACCCGCTCCAGTTTTCTGTATGTCTGGCCACGTGTCCTGCCCATTGCCATTTTAGGGAACCAATTCTTTTTATTATGTCGGAGACTTTGGTTCTTTCCCTTATCCATGTATTTGTTTTGTGGTCTCTCAGGGAAATTCCTAAAATTCGTCTTTCAATGGCTCTCTGATGTACTTCCAATTTGTGTCCAATTCTTCTGGTTATCACCCAGGTCTCGCAGCCATACGTGACAACAGGCAGTATACACTCGTTAGAGACTTTTGATTTTAAAGTCATTGGAATATTCATGCTGAAGATGTACTTTAACTTGCCGTAAGCCGCCCATCCCAGTCTAATTCTCCTATCAATTTCCATTTCTTGATTTTGTTTGCCCGGTGTTATAGCTTGGCCAAGGTATATGTATGTTTCTGTCTTTTTTATTGTGCTCTCATGGATCGGTATTGTTTCGTCTGCATCTGGTGTATTTGTAATAAACTGGGTCTTTGTGTGGTTCATGTGTAATCCTACTTTTGCCGCCTCATCTTGTAGTTCTTCCAACATATCTATCAATTCCTGTTTGTCTTTCGCGAACAGTACAATATCGTCGGCAAATCTTAGATTGCAGGCATTCACCATGTATGTTCAATCCTTTTTTTTCCCATTGTAGCTTTTTAAAAATATCCTCGAGCACTAAAGTGAATAGTTTTGGGGATATTACGTTCCCTTGCCGAACTCCTCTTTTGGCGTTTATTCTGTCAGATGATTCATGAAGTCTTATCGACATTGTCGAAGTCTTATAGATGTTTTCAATGAGGTTTATATAACGTTGATCCACTCTGGCAGTTCTCAAGGATTTTATTATTGCCCAGATTTCCACTGTGTCGAAGGCTTTCCGGAAATCGACAAAAGCCATCCATAGGTTTATATTATATTCTGTAGCTTTCTCGATCATCTGCCTTACTGTGTGTAGATGTTCTGTCGTGCTATAATGGCTTCGGAATCCAGCCTGTTCCTTTGGTTGGTAACTTCGAGTTTTCGCTCTAATCTGTTGGTGATTATTCTGGTGAATAATTTATATATTTGTGATAGTAGTTTTCGAGATCACTCGGGTCACCTTTCTTGTAGATCAGATCAGAACAACTACAGCATTCTCCCAATCTTTGGGTATATGTTCTTCTGTTGTTGAATAGTTTCACTAGTTCTTGTCTCGTCTTAGTATCGCTTTCCTTGAGCATTTCAGGCAGAATGTTGTCTTCTCCTGCCGCTTTACCATTTTTCATCTGGGATAACCCTTTCTCCAGTTCTTCCATATTTATGTCGGGCATTTCTTCTGAGTGTGCATTTACTATTCGTATTTTGTCTTCCCTTGTCCTTATGTTTGCTATTTTAGATTCGTACAGATCTCTATAGAAAGATTCCACAACTTTTAGTATCTGTTGTCTGTCTTCTACTATGTTGTTTTTCGCATCTTTTATTTTGGTTATCTCTTTCTTAGGTGTGTTATGTCTTTTAAATATATCGGGTCTTCAAAAAAAAAAAAACAATCAAAGATTGCTTTGATTACGAAAACGTACGTCGTATTATTGTTTCTTTATTGGTCAGGTTTTTTGACATCACATTTTGACATTAAAGTTCATTGAAAAAATTGAAGAAAAATATTGCTAAGACATACGTTTAAAAAACCATAGCAATCTTTGATTGGTTTTTTTTTTGAAGACCCGTTATTTAGTCCTTTGTTCTGTTCTAATAGGGATTGCACTTGTTTCGTTTGATGTTTTAGTATATCCTGTTTCGCCATTTTTCTTGCTGTTTTGTTGGTTTCTGTGTATTCAATAGTG